TGCTTTAAGCTCTCCTCTAAGCTAACTAGTCTAGTGTTCAGGTAAGTTATTGTTATTATTAGGAATAAGATGGATGCTAGTTAAAAATGCGAGATTTCCGCTCCTCGACGTGATACGATTGATCCATGGAAAAAGCAGGCAATAACGTATGTGTCTCAATGGGTATCCGTCATAACTAACGGATCACCACTTAATAAAGTTACAACAAGCAAGTTTTCGAAGCAGGTTTCTTGGGTTTTGGCAAGTATCTGCAACACTTAGGTTCAACCAGGTCTAGCGAATCCAACTGGCAAGACTAGCGAGAATGAGCATTTGTAAATACTGGCGTCATCTAGTTAGCTTCCCGAAGCATAAACGGACTTGAACGGTGGCAACGTGTTTAACCTATGCACATTTAGCGAAGGTAAAGTATAAATTTCAAACCCAGCCGAAACCCTAGACAATAGTTTATCCCAGGGACAGTTAGCTGTCAGCAGCAGCTATGCCTCACTAAGGCGATAGCGGCCTGTTTTATCCATTCAAATTCCAGGCCAACGCGCAACAAGAGAAATTACATTGTCCTAACGCATGTGGATAGTGGCTATCGTTTGGTGTAATTGCAGAAAATGGCACTGGAGATCAATGAGTGAGATTGCACCAGCAGGGGGCACAATAACCAGCCTCGTGCTACTGCGCCAAGTTCCAACCTACGTCAACAAAGTAGGAAAAAGCACGCTTGAAAAGAAACACTGAATTAACCTTGACGGCTTATATCGTCTGTCACGAAGCAGATCGAGTCGCTGGTCAATCGTTTGCGGCTCCAAATTTCAACGTGAACACTTCGACTCGTTGACATTGCATCGCTTCCTCTTCCAGCACAAATCGAACTATTTCGAACGTACATTGTCTCTAACTAGATGCCACTGCACTGTTGCAGAAATACGGTCATAAAATAAGTATGCTTCACTAGCTGGATCTACTCACGCTTCGCGCAGCATCGCTTTCATTCGCGAATGAATGGTCTCCACAAGGGGATGAACAACCCCCAACCGGTAACAGAGGCGTTGGGGCTAAGTTAGTGCGAAAAACACGACTCACTTCAAAAACGACAACGAGTGTATGTACAGAAAAATGTATATTTACTCTTTGATACCCTAATCGTATGCATAATAACCGTGCACTCTTCCATAATGTATTAGTCTGAGTTTATGAGAAAATCAATATCGATGTTCTTTCGAACTATAGAAGGTTAGTTTACACCAGTCTCACGGCATCACAAACCTATTCAACAGGCCATCTAGAGCTGGCTTATAGTATTCACGAAGCGGTGGGAGGTTTGCTGGTCTGTCTCGTACTTCTAAGTAGAGCTTTGAACTTCCTAAAAAAGTTATTCTTCTTTTTTTATCTGGATACAATCAATTGGCATCTAAATGCCCTGCTATGTACATTTACTAGTCAATCCGTTTACTTGCTTAGGCTATTTATCGTTAAATAAAGCGTCGGTTTCATTGGTAGCGATACTTAAAAGCCGATAGAAAATTTGTGATGTTTAATGATAGACTAACTGTCACACTCACTAGTATACATTAATAGGCTATGACTAATTAAGTGTACTGTTAAAAAAGAGAAAACTCATCCCGTTTTATCGTATCACAGTCTTCTGAGTTACTTATAAAATAGCCCATATCCAGTCGCTAGTAGTAAGATATCAATGGGTAATGTTGGCCTCATCCGACATTAAAAGCATCATCTTTAATGTCGTGGATGAGCAAACAGTTAGCCACCCGTGGTCATCATAACACGTCTGAGAACTCTGCTAGTATAGCTTAGGCTATAGAAACTGATGTAGTGGTGACCCATTTGCCTACTGAAGCTAGCAGTATGAACGAAGCAGCCGTACACCTAGGACTCGAAATGTTAAAATGTTTGTTCCTTCACAATATATTGTAACTCTCTTAATTTATACAATCGTATAATTTGCCAAAGTTAAGTTTTTGCATTTTTTGTTCTTTTTTTGTTAATAATGGACCTTTTTTTTTGCAACCTGTTCACTTTCGAAGATAAACTTTGGTTCTTTTCGAAGCTCGCAGGTGTTCCACCGGCTGTAGATCGATGTCAACGTCGAACGAAGCACCGTCAGAAGAGAAAGTCCTTTATGAAAACTTCACGTAAATATCGTCCGTCGCCATCTTTCAGTCGTTGATCCAATCTTATTAATATCATTTGACTTACAAATCGTCTGATAATTTTTTTGCTTTATTTTCAAGGCGTTTTCCTCAGTCCGCAATAATTGTGCGCCGGCCCAGTGACGCGCCCCGTGTTGTTACTACGAAGGCGTGCGCTTTACGACGGCTACTAGAGCAACTGGTAGTATTTCTGATTGCTGACACTGATTTGTCTTGGCTTAGGTACGATCTAGATCCCATACGATTTGCTTATCTCGTGAGCGCTCACGCTTGGGTGTGGCAAAAAGTGGTCCGTCTCTCGTCTAGGCAATACAGCATATAAATGACTCACGTCCTCTAGACTGTTACGTTTCTCGTAAATAGATCTGGCGCCTAGCTGCCAATTTTTCCTTCGGAGTTGTTTCGACACCATAGGCGACAGGAGATTTGTAAAGCGGGATGGATCTAACGGTTAGTTTGATCTAGTAGTTGTACTGATGTGCAGTTGAATAAAGCTATAAGATAAATATTTGCCCTATATGGCACCTTTTTGAAGGCAGGCAAACGGAGGGACGGACGGCTTTCTCATGCATTGGACAGTCATCCGATGGACCTGGTTTTCTTAACGAAACGCATATCGTCTAGCTGAATTAGAAACAGCACAAGGCTCGAGGGGGTGTCGTTCACTGTGGGTCAATATGATAATTTTAATTTGGGTTCATGTTGCTTTACTAAAAAGAACTCTCAAACTCGATTTACATAAAGACGAATCGTATTCTTTTTTTTGTGAATGTACCGAGAAGTAACGAACCTGCCACAATGTATTAGACAAATTCAGTTTGATTTAGAGACAATTTGTCCAGCTTTGTTCGCATCTCCCCTGTCTACAATAGCGGAGGATACCGGCTCCGCCAGAAAACCTATGAAAAATGTGCAAATTTCTTCGTATGCCCTATACTATTGTTCCTGATGCTCAGAAATCGCCTTGGTCTGGATTGAGCATAGCCCCTTCTTGATCCTTCCGACCATAAATAGACTTTGTCCTTCGGCCACAGTATTCTAACTGTGATAAATGTTAAGTTTGACGTCGTTTAAAGTTATCACGTCGACTTTTCACAGTATAGTTACGAAAACCATCAGACCTGTTTTACAAGCTTAATTGTGTAGTTGTTGTTGTTGTTGTTGTTGTTGTTCACATTGTGCTTACCAGGAGAACTATCGTCGGACAGATCCGAGAGAGAAGGCACCTTCTGGACGGAGTCACCAGTGAGTGGCAGATCGCTTTGCAGATGATCTTCTGCGCCTCCATTTACATCGGGGTGATTGTAGCAACCGACAGCTCGCGGACGGCGCATCCCGATCGACAATTGAAACGTAATGTGCTACAGTAAAACACATAAAAGATACCAGTTAGAATTATATAGAGGCTCTGAACGATGTTGCGGCCATCTTTAGAATAGGTCAAAATTGCCCCATTCACTGGATAGGTACAATGATAAAGATTCGTCGAAAACGTAAAGTTGTACATATCGTATTGTTAGAACCTTTGATGGGCGAGTGTCGCCGCCGGAGGACGAAATTAGTTCATTTAGAGTCTATCGGGCTGTTTGTCAATTCTTTTAGCACGAAGTTGGCCGTTCTCGTATGTGAGTCCGTGGCTGCAGAGCTTCTCCGATAAACGAAATCAACCCATAAACCCATGATCAAAAGCTGCTGTCCTTTATTTGAACTTTCTATATTGTAATTACGTATACATATAACAGATCCATAGGTCTAATCTAGCTTGATTTGCCCCGGGATGGAATGGCCAGACGTCGTAAAGCCACACTCAATAGCGATACAGCTACTGTTCGAGATGCATTTATTAACGAAAGGTCCGTCTGTGTGTCGAACACGTTCTCCTCCTATGACTAAACCGTTCTAGTGAATACCAGCTGTATTTCCTTTGACAATTAACAGAACATGTCGTTGTAAATATTGGAACGTACGAAAAACAACATCAGAAACAACAGACAACAAACACATCTTAACTCAGCCACCATACACCTATATGCATGCAAACAAATTCCTCTGTTAGCCACCCCATACGATAATTGAGAATGATTTAGAACTAGTGTGCCTAGCAATCGAGGCTTCTCGATGCTCATTGAACCCTTTTCCCAATTTCTCCTCGCAATGTTCAACTATTGACTGAAGCGCATTACCTGGTGTAAACGTTCCCCCAGATCACCGAAGTTTATTCTCTGACGCATCACGTATTGTACGTTCTGGCTTACATTGTCTCCCCCTCTACCCGGACCCTATCCGGACCAAATTTTTCGAACCACAAGTGACGATCAGTCAGTCACGTTCCACGATGTTTTCGTGACGGCGCAGTGTCTGTTTGTTAGAATTGGAGACAAGTGGCAGTCTAAACCTGAATCCAAACTTTATTTCGTGCTAGAACGGGCCAGCGAGCCAGTTGAACTAACGTTCGACAGCGGGATGTAAAACCCAAAAACGTTTCTTACAGTTACTTTCATCATACCGAATTGAATTAAATAGAATAAAGCTAATATCGAAAGCATAACAGAAACGTTTAAAGGCGTGATTAGATGAGCTAAGTGAATCGGGTGCATTTTCGCTGGCGTCTCTTAGGCAATCATTCATCGGAGTCTGTAGCATCGCATGGATATTGTAAGCACACGTCGCGCGTCACGGTAGGCCAAAGGCGTTAAGTGCGATAGCTAGTATGCTATGGATAGGTTCGTGCACCTCATAAATCCTCACTCTCTCTTTGCGTCGCCTATTCCATCGTTATTTGAACGCTAGCGGCTAAGCGAGCGTCGACATTGGCACTCTATTTCTGCCATTCGGTCCGACCAGCGGTGGCTGCTCAGTAGTGTTACCATCGATGGCCGCGACAAGTTTTGTCACCCGTCTGACAATCACTGGCTCTCGGTGTCTAACGGTGGCCATTGTCGTCGTTGTCATTTCAGATCTCTTTTCCAAATGACGACTTCCTTATCAGTGGCAATCAGGTCCAATCGAGGGGCGAGTACCGTCGCTCGGCTTGGGGCTCGGTGATGCCAATCATCTTTGCGACCAGTGATGACTATAAGTAACACATAGTCACTGTTGCGTCTGGTCGTTTTCGTTCTCTGGTTCAGCCAGTAATAGTCCAAACGACAAGAAGTCAGAAAGCCCGAGAGTGGGCATTATCTATAGCTTTGCCAATAGCTGCTGGATTAGGTACTAGTTAGTCGTTGTGCCTGTGTGAGACCTGTGTTCGTGCGCGGGATTTGGGGAGACCCTCATTCATTTCTAGATGCATGTGTATATACGTGGTAGTGCAAGAGTTTTCTGATAGTTTGTTTATATATAATTTAACTTCAACTTATTATTGGCATTGTTACTTCGCAACGTTTCAACTGATTTTTTTCTAGCTGTAACAAAACGTTTACCCCAATATATATATTGATATTGCTCTCTAGATTGGCTAGAGGATAAATTAGACGGGGCTCGGAGGGAACCTTCACAAGACACTGGAACGTTAGAAAGCAAATTTGTAAAGGTAAGTATAATAGTTTCATTGGAAAAGGCGTTTTTTTCGGTATCATTACTGATAAAAGATTACCAGAATACTCTTTGATCCAATGAAACAGAGCCAAAATACAAGGACGTTACTACATATATGTCATCGATAATCTTGCTAACATAACATTACAGTGCAGAACTTTTACATAAAGCTATAGCACTTTCCTATCCGAACTTGATTGCGATACTTGTAAATAAACGACTCGACGAGTATTATGGAGGCACCGCTTGTTCAGATGGTTTGCTTCTCGAAGCGGCAAAAAACGCCCCGCGGACGGTATCCAACCTGTGTCATAACACATATACGTAACCATAGCGGGCAAACATGTTACCACTTTGCTATCGCAGAGATTAAGTATCATTGTTGCAGTACTCTTTTGGCTCGGATACGACAGGGGCCGATGGAAATGTTAAGACGAAATGAGCTTTTCCGTAGAAGCGTTCAAAGGTATTCAGGAACGGGAAGTTGGGGGTGGAGTTTCGAAGTAGCACTGAAGATCGGCCAGCGAAAAAAAGCAACAGGAAAAATCATTCGGAGTAGCATCTGTAGTTACTATGAACTTATCGAAGCGTTAGAAGACATTTCCTTCGTTTTGGAAGTTAAACTAGAAAATTACACCGGTACTTTTCCAGAACGACAAGTTCACTACGACAATTTCGAAAGATGGAAGGAATAGTGCAGTTTATATGAAACATTTCCACGATCCAATTTAGCTAATGGCAAGTGATCTGCTAATAGGCTATACATGAGGATTGTACTTCAAACCATTTCGTACATTAAACATTAGTCGGGTCTAATATGGGTACTAGACCTGACGCAGTGGTTGCGGGTTTGCACCTGACCACACAGTAAGCCTGATTACATAATAACAGTAGCTTATTTAGGTAAAGTAGTCGATCGAAAGCTGGACACTGTTTATCGAATAGAAGAAGACAAACTCGGAAACTATCGAAGCCAGTGGATACATATGATCGGTACTTGTGTCAACCATCAGTTCTATTGTTTCCTCCGAGACAAGCATTACCTCGAACAGGCGCCTTACAGATATTTGCACGTGTTCTATAGTATATTAAGCATTTGGAAGATAGGCGATTGTTAACAGCTTGATCAGAGCCAGAGTCATCTTCCCTAATGCTACAGAACTTTCTAGCCGTGAGCTAGAATGTTGGCAGTCGGGTGTTAATACTGTTGAAACTATAATCTACAGTGAGTCGTACATTAAGATGGTAGAGAATTAGGAGAACCGAACACGCACACATCTTTACACCGGCTAGAGTAGGAATTCACAAGTGTAAATGTGCCTTTTCCACATGTCTAAGCGTTAGGTTCATTTTACATTTTTATATAGCGCACTACCTTGGCCATTTTGCGCTGCTACACTATGAGAACGTTACACCTGTTCTCGGTTGTTTTTAAAGATCATAGTTTAATAACGAAGATCCGCCGAGAAATTGTTGTTAAACGTGTCTAACACAGCAAAGTGAGCCTCTTCAAAAGCGGATCAAGCAAATACGTTCACTAGAAGATGATGGAACAACGTTTTCGTTACGCTTGCCCCTTTTCTCCAGCCAAATAGGATCTTCTTTGATCCTATAGTTCCGTAATAGTACGGTGATGTTTGTCGTCGGTTATTCCGTTCTTTTTTGCTTATTACGATCATATTATCACGGTCAAATCTATCGTTGGTCAGTAAAATAATGATTTCTCGAAGGCGCTGACATCAGAGGTCACAACAACAGCGCCCACACGACGATAACAGTCAAAGGAGCAGCGTCAACGGTACGATGCAACCACAGCCGAGCTATAGTAACAGCCATAACAATACTAACGGTCAGATGATTTTTCTTGCAGGCCATGGTCGTTACGGCTGCAGCCGTTACAATTACTATTGTCACTTCCCATAAGGACGTCGAACGGCTGTGTTCAGGCAAGTTACTAAATAAATTCACTAGAAAATGGATGACGTCAATTTGAACGTATGTTGCGTTGTGTGAGGATGTATATGCCAATGGCAATAGTTTTTCATTGAATGCTTTTTTACAGACAAAGCAGAAAGGGCGCTGATTCCGTTAGGTTTACGGAGGTATCTGTTCTTCAAGCGCTTGTTGGGCGTCCGGGCGGATTATTATTAAACAGCGATGCAAAGCAAATGGTTGTCTCGTTCCGACCTCGAAGACAAAAACGTAGTGAGTGTAAGAGAACCTGTCACTTCGTGCAGTATTAAGGCGCGCTGGAGATTGCTTCGTAGGTCGGTTGACGTGCGTGACTCGGAACGACGTCACATGCTTCTTGGCCATCAGTTTTAAGGTCCCAACATTTGAGCCAATCTTTACTGGCATGTTCGAGTAAGAATCTGGCTCGGCCAGAAAATAAAAAACATGCTCAACAGCGAAATAAGTCATCTTGTGAGCCTATCTATGAAGCCTCGAAAAAAAAAAGCCTGATTACAATCGAATAGCACAGATCTCCTAGACGGTAAAAAGATCCTACCGGAAGAGTTACGTTTGAGTCTGCAACCGAATCTTTCACGGACGGTTAGTACTGTCAAATTCTAACCGAGACAACACATTTTTAGACGATCACTTTTGTCAATCGTACTAATAATTTGCCATGGTAGTAAAGTGGCAGTCCAACCGTGTTCGAGCTTTGACTCAAGCTATACGGTGGTACCTCAGGTTTCAATAATCTAAATAAATCGCGCGTCCATCTTTATCACCAGACATGGAAAGCGTACGAAACCGCTGGATGGGTCTAGAAAACAAGTACGCCTTGCTACATGGAACCGATTGTTGATAATGATACTGAACGATAAAGATAGCTTTGGTGTTATCTTTTAATATGTGCTCTCGCGGGCTAGTTTATTATCTCAGCAGAGCTGCTCTATGTCAATATCGTCTGCTAGACATTCACATGCCGATGGTCACCAAACGGTAGCACTAAGCGGAATTACCTCACAAGTACGATATGTAGCATTACAAATGTCAGAGGAAAAACAAGCCACCACTGTAACTGTTTCTTTTGTCAAGTTTGTTATCGGCCGCGAGATTAGTACGACGCCACTAGCGATGTTAGTCGAATGCTATAAACTAGTGAAGTAAAGTTATCAACGGGCAAGATAGTAACTTCCAACACTCACAGTAATTGTACAGCATCTGTCATTAGTCTAGGGGTTACGGAAGATTAAAAAGCCATTTACGGAAAATGCCCTATCTCCCGGTAACGAAACAGATATTAAGATATAATTATAGTAGCAGTGAAACAAAGATATAACCTGAATAAGTCTGCTGGTTGCTATACATTAGCATATGACTTTTTATCACTAGAATAGGTCAGGATGATAACGAACTGCCCGTTAATTTTGTTTACCATAATGGCCACACTCTTAAAAAAAGTTTGAAGATATCGCAAGGTGGATTCGATTCGTATCTGTTAATCTGGGGTGAAGACCGATTTCGGATCCCCCTGCTTCAATAAGCAGTTCTCAGCAGGCTGGCTCTCTCGGCTGGTTGTGCATCGACCCAGTTAAAACAATTAATAAAAAAAAAAAATAGCTTGTCATACAAATAAGAAGCCTTCATTTTCCAAAAGCCAATAAAATAACTATTTGATATATTTGTTTTATGTTATTATTGAACCGTCCCAAACAATTGAAACATTGAAAACAATGACAACGTATTGTCTGCTTGAAAAATTTGAACTCCACCTGGTGTCTTGCGCCGTCTGAGCCCTCGAACGGTGTCTATACTCAGCACTTCTTCACCTTTATAACATTTTTATTAAACTATCCGATGTTTTGATACCGTTGCTCGTCATAGCGACTGACTGAATTAGCTGAATCTGTACCATTAGATGCGTACTTACCTTCTGGTAAATATCGCCATCCGCACGTCGACAGATCGTTACCGAATCTGTTAACGTTAGCGTCAGAGCTGGTTTACCGCCCACAGGCATGCAGGTGGGCCCCGTGATGTTGTGGGGGCGACTAAGTCGCCTCCTAAACTTAGAGATCTATAGTGAATAGTCATATAGGGTCGAAATGGTAAGCAGACACATAGGGTTGCTGCTGGAAAGGGCAGCCAGCGGTCTCAAGCAATACGTATCAGACGTAAAGCTCAAAGCGGTAAGCATCCAGATGGACGGTTACGCAGGCGCCGAGCAAGTTTCTTGCCCCTGTTGACGCCCATTGTTCTGCGAGTCTGTTGGCGGTTCCATAATATCGCAATACCTTTAGACTTCCAATGCAGCATTTTTGGTGAGGTTTTTAATCCACTTGGTTTGACGCACCATTGTGCATTACATAACACTGTGACCGCCGGACAACGGCTGACCTCTCTCGTTTCCCTGTCGCCGTGACCGCTACATTCAGTGATGCTTCTTTCTGGCGAATTTTCGGCATGCACATGCGTTATCGGCGGCCAACGATGCCTACTGCCCGAAGCAAGACCTAACAACTTAAACACCGGATGTTAAGCTCGAAGCATTAATTTGATTCGGGACTACTAAACCCGCCAAATCCCCCTTGTTTTACCCTCTAGTAGTTGGGAGCATCTATTGAAGTCTAGCAACAGAAATCATTCCCGGGATCATCCGCGTTGATATCGCTCTACAATGACACCTGCTGCTGTTATTTCTACTTTTTCTTTTGCCGACACCTCGGACCGCCTCATGCCACCACCTCGTTAACGACTGTTCCCAGTGGCAACGTGCAAGACAAGAAAGCTCGCAATATTCTGCCTCTCATGACAACGCTGATGAGGAACGCATATGCTGGGAACTTGGTGTCACGTTCATTCATTCAACTTCCCGCACATAAATTTTCTGTGTAGGGTGGTTTCGCCCATGGCCCCAGCCCACTTTCTCCCCCTTCTTCGAGAGACCGAGATCGTGGTCGCGCTACAAAACCGAATGAAATAAAGAAAGGAAGTGTCTCTCTGCTGGCGCTTACTAGTCGCCCGTTGCTGGATTGCCGAATGTAATACAGAGACATCTCTCAAGATTTGCTTTGAAAGAACAACGAGAAGCCACGCCGGACACGACAACTACAATGGTGATGAGGATGAATCCGATAATGGTGACTCTGACTCTGATGTGGTAGATGATGAAGCTGATCATGTTGACACCACCGAAGTGTGAACTAAAGGGTAGGTTCTCAAGTTGAAGGGAGCGGCTGCTGAGGCATCGGTGAGGACTAAATAAAAATCTCAACATGAATGAGTGCATAAGTACAACTCTCTCGTGATAAGCTCCTGCTGCTGCCACAGTAACAAAACTAGCTACGGTCATGAATCTGCTGTTGTAGGCTAAATCATGCAAATGTTTGTTTTTGTGCAAGTCAAACCTTTCGCCGTTATGCCCAATGTTAGCGGCGGTTATTTCTTTATTTATATCCGATTCATCCGCCAGGAACGCCTGCCTGATGTATGTGTGAGGCGCCGAATTGTCATAGAGTGTGAAGTATGTAAAAAGAGACACGTGAATTCATGCAGAGATTAGGGGCAGACACCAGTTTTGCGGTCACAAAAGGTAAGGCCAGAGACGCTGACCAGTATTATGAATGTAACACGGTAGGGGACTAAAACGTAGAGAATAGCTAAAGCTCGCATCTGGTTGGTATGGCCTAATGCTAGATGACGTGTGGTGACCTCAAAGGAAGTTTTCTACCGAGTTCAAAGTGTACAGGCCGAACTAGTGAACGGATCAAAGTTCAGTTGGCTGCTGGCATTTAGGAAAAACCACGGGTGGGTAGCGCTCGAGCTCATTCGAGTTTGACCAACAACACAGACAGGTGTTTGATACACAACCAGCGATAAAGCTTTATACTTCCGTGGATACTGCAGCGATGATAGATAGCAGCAATAAGTCGTTTGCAAAAACTACAGATGTAAAAATCGCTAGAGAGGAACAAGCAAGAAAAGGAAGATGTCTGCTACCGGTTCTCGAAACAACAACCACGACAAGTATATATGCACGTGTACAGGAATACAAACGCTCGAAGAACGAGGTAACCTGGCAAGGACGAGATCTCGAATAAGTGGGCACTATACAAGTCTGAACAGGCCGGTTTCCTAACATACGCGAGCGTACACGCTCGACCATCAACTCGCTAATGTTTGTAAGAGACACGTATGCTAGCTATGGCCCAACACATTAATTTTTTCGCTGTACAGGTGGCAGCACGGTCGGCGACGTTCCTTGAGGTACGTGAGAAGCGGTCCAGGTTTGAATCTGCACGAACACAGAAGATTCTATTTGTTTCGTATTGGTTCAAAGTGGCAGTCGTCTGTAATAATGCCCAACGCTATCTAAGTACCAAACGCGGAACGAAAAAAACGTTTTTGGGAAATTTTATTGGTAATGGAAGAGCTTAGATAAGATTATGTTTGGCAAATTCGCCAAGAAGTTCAATATTTTCGAGTTGTTATCGTTGTTCAAAATTGATTATTGTATTATTGCTTCTCGTTTACAGCTACCTTTTTTTTTGTACCTGCTATACATGCACATTTGGAGTAAGTAGGCACATGTATCAGCCATAGCAGAGATGCGTTTAAAGTATCAAAGCACATATATACATCTAACATATTTATCGGTAAACTCAGCGACAAAAAAACGAATCGACGAGAAGCAAATACAAAGTGCTAACTTAAATTTTCTCTTTGTTTTTTCTCGCCAGTTTTACGTCCACACAGAGCAATTTCAAATGAAGCCGCGCTATAAGGACTACTGCAGCGTACGGTGGAACACTACGAGAGAAACCTGCTATATCCAATCGCGTCCTACTTGTTCTCACAGGTATCGTCACTTATAGTACAAACCGGGGAGAATTTTGGCCGGATGTGAGCCCCGGCCAAAAATCTCAATGAACGTGGATTGTGCGGCAGTAGTATTACCACGACGTGCTTTTTGTCTCTCCATATATATACATATGTTTGTGTGTGTGTGTCTGGCTGTCTGCCTGCCCTGTGACTAACAGCAATAGAAAAGTCCCCATTTAGGCGAGAAGTAGCACTTCACTAAAGCACCAAAATGGCTGTTAGCGGCGACACAAAAGCGAGCTTAGCTTCTCCGCAGCCAGTAGGATGCGAAATGGTCGCAGATCAGCCCGTCATAGCACGAGAGCACCATAGTGATCGTCGTTTTCGTTTTCTCCTGCTGCTTGTCGTCGAAGCAGGGCCTAGCACAGAGGTGGGTTAAGGCCGCGACCTGTCCTGGCCACCTTACACATAGCCGCTTACTTCGATTCTAGCTAGCACCAGGTGAATGAAAAAAAGTGAAACTCTCCAAAGGCAAACGACCGGCACTATTGAAAAGCGAACCGCGTATGCTGAGTGAGAACTAAACCGGAGCTCCCAGCAGTAGTTCGCGGTAGCCGTGGTACTCCCTACAGCTAACGGCGTAGCTGTTAGGATGAGAGGCAAAGAATGGGCCGACAAGAGAGATCAAGCGGGATAAAACCTCTTTATGAATGAACGTAGTATTGGTCGTAGTAAGAGTATGTAATTTTGTCTGCGCGAATCGTATGGTTCACCTGCCCCTAGAATCGGAGCCCATTCAAGGTTGTTTGTCCTGTGGCGTGGAGAGCAGGCCTGCGCGTCTCTCTTTGGAGTTATTCTATTTCGCCGTAGCTATAGCTCTAAGCATGTATGTCTCTGCACTGCAGCATTAGAGACGGGCGTAGGCCATCGAGAAGTCCGTTGGTTGGTTTGCTTACTATGTCGGCTTCGGCATTGAGCAGCAGCCTGCTCGAAGAGCACCTGTTATCCAGGAAACGGGACCGGTAGGGAAGTGCCCGTACGTCTTGATTTCTCTTCTGCAGGCTACTGCTGCTAATCTTTGTGCAATCTGAATTGCGTATTCAACTATTACAACACGTATTGGTCCATAGGAACGTGGACGGGAGTAGTCGTGCAGTTAGAGGGAGGAACTGTCGGGATTCGTATTTGTGTTTGTACACGTGAGGGGTCTAGTGTATAAGTAAAGGACTACCTAAAACGTAAAAAATATCAAAAAAAAACATTTCCTTAATAAGAACTTGATCGAAGTTCTCATTGTAAACGGAAAAGTTCTTACGGATAAAACGCGGTTCTACGAGACTTTGTCGCGTAGAAGTTATCGAGACCCTGGTTTATGCAGTTCTGTCATATGTTCCTAATAAACCGAAGACCAGCCGATTTACAAATGGCTTGCATCATTTAGCGGTCTGACTGCAAGTGATCCTAATAAAACGAATCGACGCCACAAGGGTATAGATCCATTTGGTCATCATATCACGTACCGTTTACTATTACTGCGAGTGATAATACTGTAAAAATGAGCTTAACGCACAATATGAGAACAGTGCAAGGCTCCTGTCTGATTCCGCTAACGCTTGGTTCAACCATGCAATTTCAAGGACGAAACACTCGTACATAACATACATAGTGCATCGTAAAATAGCATTAACTCCCAAGCTTGGGCCTTGATCATTCAATAACCATGCTAGGAACTACCAATTTCAAACTAGGTATAGTTCGTTTGATTTTTATAACATCGACAAGTCGTTAACATGTTGATGTCATGATGCCCGCACTGCCGTACAGGCCCATACTGGTCCACAGCTGGTTTCATTAAGCACATGTGGCTACGGGATAGATAACAGGAATAGATGGAAGTGGAAAAGAAACTGGGCAGACAATAGCACATCTAATAGCTAGATCGATT